CCCCAAAACCCCAAAACCCCAAAACCCCACTAATTGAAAATTAGCTTTAACTTATAATAAACTTATCAAAAATATAATTTTGCTAGAATTTACTGATGGCTTCAATATTTTAACGCAAGATTAAACTAACGATAGTTAGTTTAATGACTGTAATTATCACGATTGCAACTACTGTGTATAGCTAGAATGTTAATTTGGGTTCTTTATCTTACAATAACAACTGCTTTGCTTGCGTGTATAACGGCCATAGATATTGCATGACTACTGGTTTTTGCGCATCATAGAGTATTTCTTATAAATGTGCTGATAATGCCACTTATAATTCTACCACTGGCTGTCCTATAAAAAATTACTGTAATGGAACAGGTTAGCATGGTGTTATTTGGCTTCATGATTTGAATCAGACCAACTAAACCAATTCAACTTCTAATAATTCATCAATTTCTCCGTATAATCCTTATCTCTACACGAAATTAAACGGAAGTGTGACAGTAAACATACCCTATAATGAGTCATGCTTTCTAGCAATCATTAATCAAGACAGGAAAAATTAGACATGGAGAATCAGGGGAGCTAATGTATCTACTGAGGCTTTAACTTTTAGATTCCCAGAGAGTACAACTAGGGAAACTAATTTAACTAACTTCACTATAACTCCATATGATAATGTGAAGCTATTGTATTTAGGCACAGTTATAAATGGAATCAAGACACCACCTAAAGTGACTTTATCCTGGGAAAACCCTCCTGATCCTCCCAAGGTAATCTAAGTTGATACCTCAGCTTAATCAAATCTAAGACTGAGTTTTGGAATACTATTCTGTATTTCATTGCTAATGCACTCATTGAGCATGATATGAATAATTGAAAAGTAGATGATCAAACTATAATTTATTAGATGATTGAAAGCAATCCTGTAAGTAATATAATTTATGAATAAGAGCTTAACAATTAACAGAAATTAAGATCTATAATTGATAATATTGATAATACATTTAGCATATTATTATTCCAATTCACTTCTTGCCTCCAACTTATCCCAGTGAAAATGAGGCACTTTTCTCCATGCCTCTATCAGTCTCGAAGGGGATGAAAGATGTAAAGTCTACTGTGTCTCTTTCGAAAAACCAATTAGTTTTATCTATGTAGTTAAGTTATTTCTTGAGCTCAATCATTTTAATCTTAAATTCCTTTTCTTAATCAAGCAGTTTCTGCTTTATTTTCTACTGCTCCAATCTACTCTCGATGTTCGCATTATTATTAAAGAAAGATGCTTGATACTATTGCTGTTGCTGTTGAGAGGCCCCACCTTGCACATGGCCGGGGATGACATGCTACTATCTGCTGGCAACACCACCACCCAAGGCGCTTGCTACTGGAATTCGATGCTGGAACCCACTGAAATGCTATTGATATTACTATTACATCTATTGCTGCTGCTATTACTATTACTGTTGCTGCTGAATCTATTGATGAATCTCTGGAGGTTACTGCTACTAAATGAACTGATTCATTTGCTGTTAAACTGGATTCATACTAGTATTGGCAGTGTTTGAAGGTGGAGTGAAGTTGTGAGGCTGATAGTTCCTTATGAAGTCAGTTGAACTTTGCTAGCGAGCCTGCTCCACTTCAATAGGACCCCCACTGCTTATGCCAAGTAATCCTGGGTTGTTGAGGATAATTTATCTTGAACTTTATGATCCAGATGCAAATGTATGATTGAGTTAGCCTTAAATCATTGGCCCACCTCCTGCTCCTCTAGAGATTTAACTACTGGGAACTTAGAACGAGTTCCCTGCTGAATTGTTATTCAGCAACCTAGAGTGAATAAATGTCTCAATGTTGTTGATGTTGGATCCCAAATGCTATTGCTGCTGAGAACGAGGGGATACTTGCGATTGAGTGCGACTGAATGTAGACTGGGAGATCTACGCACTTGATTGGCTATCGTATTACTACTGCTGCGGATTATTCATTTTATTGTTAGTTGTTTAAATTATAAATTCAATTATTCAAACTCACATCAAGTTATATTTAAACGGGGTTTTGGGGTTTTGGGGTTTTGGGG